GCTGGGCGGGCGGGGCGTTGGGCGCAGGCGCGCGGCGAGCGGGCTTGGCGCGGCGCGCGGGCGCGCCGCGATTGGGCTGGGCGGGACGGGGGCGGACGTTTTGGGTCATTCTGCCGTGATGGGCGCCTCCAACAGAGGCCAGACAGGCATGTCCGTTTTGGTTTTCATTGTTATCTCAAACGGACGAAATTCAGACAAAATGGACGTCCGTTTGGGTCGTGCGGTGGGAATCGGCCAAAAACAGTATAATGCTAGCTCGGAGGAGATCGGCCCGAAGCTGTGACCGGTCGGCCGGCGCCTAGCGTCCCTAGTATAAAAGTCGTAAAGAAAAGGCCGGCGGTAGAGAGCGAGCACAAACAAACACACGAGCAGGCGCCGCGCGGCGCTCACTCACCCGCAGATCTCTCGCCCGGCCCTCTCGATCCACCTGAGTTTCCCGACGGCCGCACCGGTACGGTATCGCGCGCTTCGATTGGGTTCTGGTCGCTGCTTTTATTTTTGATTTTTGTTTTCTCCACGGAATTATTATTTTTTGACCTGGATTCGTGGTGGCGGCCGGTGCAGATCTGACGGTGGCGGCGGCAGAGGAGGCCTCTAGGGCTAGAGTTTTGGCGTGATGCAGCGGTCTGGGCGGGGTCTGCAGCGGTCGGGTTCGAAGCGTGTGCTCGACCCCACCAACGGCACTGGCGGCGGCGGCGGCGACGACGACCATGCGGCCAAACGGCCTCGCGTGCCCGCCCTTGCAAGGTTCGTGTTTCTTTCTGCCTGGTAGTACCAAATTTCCAGGGTTTGTGGGACAAGTTTGGGTTTGGGGTTTAGGTTGTCGGCTGCTTTAATTAGGAAGAAATTTAGATCCTCCACTTACCTCCATTCGGTCGAGTAATTCGATTCCTAATGTTGCTGTTAAGCTTCCTACCGGCTGGAATAGGGGTGCTACAGCTTACCTAATCCTTGTTTTAGTTGAATCAGTTGGGTAAGAGTAGGATTGGAACTTGGACCCAAGATGATTCTCTGAGCATAACACGTTTACTACTTCTTTAAATTATAAGCTAAAGGAAGTGACTCCAGATGATAATTTTAGTCCAAAATTTACTGTGGCGCATAGCTGTTTTTGTGCTTGGTGGTACTCAGTTGGTACTCCAATGAGTGCTGCTCAGTTCCGTGTCAGAGCACCAGCTGACAGCACAAATCTGCGCATCCTGCTCAGCTCTGCCTGACTCCTTTTCTATGATATATGATGGCACGTTTTTATACCGCATTGATGCACCAGAAAGTTCCATATGTTTAATCACCAGCAACAGGTATAACATATTTTAGAACTCTTGATAGGTTATAGAAATAAAAAATCTTTACAGTGCCAAGAGAGTTCAGTATGTAGCTTTGAATTATTTGGTTTAGATAGGGTCGATTACATGCAGTGTCGGCACTGCTTTTAGCACTGATTATGTATTCAATACAATGATGATCTGACTGTCAAATGATGCTAATAGTTTTTAAGAATACCTGTTTGAAAGAATTAGTCAATACGCTACAGTTGTGGTGTCTGTACATTTCAAATTGAATACAACGGTGATTCTACTTGTCTGCAACATTCTGAAATTTTGATTACTAAACAAAGGACACATATTGTAGTGTCATTGTGGAAGCACTAAAAGTCGACAGTCTGCAGAAGCTTTGTTCATCGCTGGAGCCTATTCTTCGAAGAGTTGTGAGTAGAAGCACTTATTGTACGGTCTGTTGACTTATTTGATGGTGCACGTTGATCATTCTGTTCTTGTATATTTTGCGAAAAGGTAAGCGAAGAGGTAGAGCGTGCTTTGGCCAAGTTGGGTCCTGCTAGAATTGAAGGAAGGTACAAGATCATAAACTTGTTTAACGTGGTGACACTCATGGGATGGCTTTATCTGGGATTTTCAGATTTTCTGCAGATGTGGTTTAGCCACACTGGTGAGATATGATACTAATACATAGTGAAAACAGGTCCTCTCCCAAAAGAATAGAAGGCCCTGATGGGACAAATCTTCAGCTTCAATTTAGAAGCAGGTTGTCTCTCCCACTCTTTACTGGTGGAAAAGTAGAAGGCGAGCAGGGGGCAGCTATACATGTTGTGCTGCTGGATACCAACACTGGTTGTGTTGTCACTTCGGGACCTGAATCATGTGCAAAGCTGGATGTTCTTGTGCTTGAGGGTGACTTCAATAAAGAGGAAGATGAGGGTTGGACAGAAGAGGAGTTTGAAGGCCATATTGTCAAGGAGCGCGAAGGGAAAAGACCTCTCTTGACTGGTGACCTTCAGGTGACTCTTAAAGAAGGTGTTGGAACCATAGGGGAGCTTATCTTCACTGACAACTCCAGCTGGATAAGAAGCAGGAAATTCAGACTTGGGCTCAGGGTTGCCTCTGTTTTTTCTGAAGGTATTCGTGTTAGGGAGGCGAAGACAGAAGCTTTTACTGTTAAGGATCATAGAGGGGAATGTATGTGTCCATACATTGTTAATTTGCTCATACTGTTAAAAGTTTCAAGCATTGAGTAGGCTGATATTGTATTTTGCAGTGTACAAAAAACACTACCCTCCTGCTTTGAAGGATGATGTTTGGAGATTAGAGAAGGTTGGCAAGGATGGTGCATTCCACAAGAAGTTAAATGGAAGCGGAATCTATACAGTTGAAGATTTTCTTCGGCTTCTTGTTAGGGATCAACAGAGGTTGCGAAGTGTAAGTTCTATTATGCCTGTTATCAGACTGTAATTTATGGAGTTTGGTTTATGTTCTTACGCTCTTGTCTCTGTAGATTCTTGGCAGTGGCATGTCAAATAAGATGTGGGAAAGCCTTGTTGAGCATGCAAAGACTTGTGTCTTAGGTGGAAAGCATTATATTTATTATGTGAATGATTCAAGAAATGTCGGTGCAATATTCAATAACATATATGAGTTCACTGGCTTGATTGCTGATGATCAGTTCATTTCAGCTGAAAATCTCACGGACAACCAGAAGGTTTGCATATTTATTTATGTGTTACCGAATAATAAGTCCAGTTACATGTCTGGGCCTGTTAAATATTTGTAAAATTCATTGGTGTTGTAAGGCTGAGATTTGGTATAGCGGAGCAAGTTGTTACATGAGACTGCAAACTTGTGTTCTGCTGTAGGATACCAGTGTATCACTCAGACTGGCCTGCGTTCAACATGTTCACCGCACATCCAGGCCCTTCCAGCAATACACATAAATGCACAGATTTCTCTAGCTAAATTTCAGTACTACACATTCAATGGATACCAAATAGACCAGTAGGATGCATTATATAATTTGGAAGAGTTTCTGTCAATTTAGAATTCTTTAAACTCCCATCACTAGTAGTTCATATTTGCATGATCATACTGGTATCCTGGTGCAGCCAAATTATAACCATTCTCATTTCAACAGAAAAAGTAAAATGAAAACTTTCAATTTCAAGAGAGTTCGTTAGCTCTAAACATTTTGCGTTGTCCATGTTAAGTTGTCAACTATAACTAAATCAAAGTAACTGCTGATATTTGGGTGCTGTATGAGTTGAAGTTATTTGTGCTATGTCCATATGAACTGTAGCAGTTGATTCTTTAATCTGCATTCTCTACCATCTTAGCTAAATTTCTTTTCCCTCATGAAATAATTCTTCACTCAAGTCATTATATTTAAACACAGATATTCTACTGAAACACAAATATGCTCAACTTAAATCCAGGTCTATGCTGACACGTTGGTAAAGAAAGCATATGAGGATTGGATGCATGCTGTAGAATATGATGGTAAGGCACTTATTGGCTTCAAGCAGAAAAAGAAATCTGTCACGACCAGAAGTGATACCGCATCAGCTTCAACAAGTAAGCCTGCTTTGTATGGTTTCGTCAATGCACAAAAACAGTTACTGCCAGGAAAAGCTGGTCAAACTTCAACAGACACTCCGAGTGAAGGTAATAAGACCTCGATCAAACAACCCTGATGTATCTTATGAATATTAATTGTCCACCATTGTTATTTCTATAGGATTATTCATTGTTTTAAATGATTTCTTTCTTCAGTTATTCATTGTCATCATAGTCTGCTCAGGTAGTAGTATAAGTCATAATGTGATGTAGCACATAGTAAAGCACAACAGATGCCTTTTCAAGTAGGTATATTCAGATCACTAAAATTGTGACATTGGTAACTGTAGAGAAAATGGTGTTAATGCCACATTTGCATCGTGGCTGCAAACTGCTGTAACTACGTTGTCAGCACTTCAATTTTGACTCACTAGGAAAAGAGCCCGTGCGTTGCAACGGGAGAGAAAACATAACACACACTCTTAAATCAACAACCATCGCTCAAGACCACAATAGGTCCATCTCCTTTGTTTTTGCGAGGCATCATATTTGTGTTGCCGCTTATCCTCCTTCTCACCCTCGCCGGCGATGGCCTCGGTGTTCTAACAAAACAACAAAAAACGTGTGTTGAATATGGTTAATCCTAAGGCGTCTCTCTCTCCCTCTCTCCTCCCTCTCCCTCTCTCTCTCTCTCTCGCGATGAGAAATCTGTTGTTTTCCTTGCGACATTTTTCAGAGGTATGCACGTGTAGTTATCGATGTTTTCTTTTCCGTATATGGTTATAGTGGGGTGTTTATTTGCAATCAGGATCGCCGCCGGTATGAAAAAAAGGATCTTGCGCTATAAATTATAAGTTTGCTTCCATAAAAATATTTTAAAAATATTTAACAGGTAAAATTAACATCATATTTAGATTCCACACATTTTTCTAATAAAATTTCATATATAATATGTTAAAATCGAGGTTGCGGCTTAAAAGATACAGATAATTTAGAAAATCATTTGGTTTGACTCAAATATATTCTAAAATAATATTTAAAATACTTAACAGGTAAAAATAATCTCATATTCATATTCTACATATTTTTCTAATCAAATTTCATATATAACATGTTCAAATCGGAGTTACGGTTTAAAAGATATGGATGATTTTAAAAAGCATTTGTTTGACTTAAATATTAAATATGATCCGCGGATGAATTACCTAAAACATCAGGGTTTTTTTGAAAAATGTAAAATAACGGTTCGGGTGTGACTTAAATCCGGACGGTGGGTTGATTTCAAGAAAAGACAGGGACTTTTGTGTAAAATACAAAAACAACGATTCGTTTCAACTTAAAACAGGACTGCGGGTTGAATTCTCTGAAATAGAGGGACTTTTCTAAAACATGTCATGACGGACGAAAGAAACCCAATTTGCTTTATTATTAGGTAAAGATAAAGATTTAGGGTGTCTCAAATGCTTAATTCATAAGGATGCCATAAGATGGGTCCCACACCATGTGCTATAGCAAATTAAAGAGTCAAATACACTGGTGGTACATGAAGTTGCACTAGATGGTCACTTTGGTGCCACAACTTAAAAAATACACCGATTGAGTGCCAAAACATGACTAAACGTGACAATACGGTGCCTAACCTATCCCTAGCCATCAACTCTGCCTACGTGGCGTGAGTAGGCCCTGTTTGTCAGCATACGAGAGAAATAAATCTCTATCTCTCTCACTATGGCATATGGGCCCTGCTTGTCAGCACATGGGAAAGAAATAGGAACGGAAAAAGGAGCGCGTCGGGGCATCAAACACAGGACCTCATGTGCCACGTGCACGAGTCAGCCAATACACGAGACAATGCTGCATGTTAGTATTGAGATACATTGAATTTTAAACTTAGTATTGGCCTTGAGAGATGACACTAGCACACCCATGAAGATGGCGACGTTATAGACCAGCTGATGCATGTTGTGCACACCGCTCTGGCTCGGAAATGACTATGGCACCTGGCTGTGCCATTCGCCGACGAGACAAGGAAGGTGGGGAGTGGTGGGCATGGCATGAGGGTGGGGCCAACAACGGTGTGCATGGACGGTGTGGGGCACGGCGTGTGTGGTATTGGGTGGGAAATCAATGCTAGTTTTGCGTGCCTCATTGTGCGAGGCTCTGGCATCGACTCGTGGGCGGTAGCAGCGCTTGCGGCAAGCACCAGTGCGTGGGCTAGAACAACAACGATGGCCCTCTGACGAGCATGTGCGTGGACTAGAAGCGTAGAACGTCTTCAACAACACCCCTTGGGCGAGTCTTCTCGCCATTCCTTGATCAGCTCCTTGATCCGGCCCACCACCGACGCGCCGAACGCAAACGCGAGGCACTCTAGGATCATCGGCGCCGGCGACGCACTGCAGCTGTGCACAAAGCAGAGCAGCGGGCAGTGCGGCTCGAGTGCGACGGGTGCGGTCCAGGATGATCTGGTCGATGGTGGCCTGCGTACCATGTGGCCCCTGCCTATCGCCTAGAAAGGTGGATGCTAAGAAGTGGATGGCAGCTGGGAGTGCCACGGACGCGTAGGAGGCCAGCATGGCAAGCAGGCTGGACATGAGGCCTGCACGTGGAACATTGGGAACGTCAACCCATCGCGTCGCTCTAGAAAACCAGTACATGGCGCGGACACGTAATCTAGGCGGAAAATGCACCGTATTGTAAGTTTAGGCACTTGGTCGGTGTATCATGCTTACGGGCAACTAGCCCTTAAGATGGACCCACTTGCGAGTTTTGCTAGTTTCCTTCCTCAACCGTTGAACATTTTTTACCTTCATACGAGCCGGCAAATAAGTTCCCTAAATCCTCTCTATTCAACATCGCCCCCCCCCACC